GAGAGACTACGGGACCTGAACCTGTTCAGCCTCCAAAAGAGAAGGCTGAGGGGGGATCTTGTGGCCTGTTACAAACTGGTCAGGGGGGATCAGAAGGTACTGGGGGAGTCACTGTTCCCCCGAGCACAGCCAGGAGTGACCAGGAACAATGGTCACAAGCTAGCAGAGGGTAGATTTAAGTTAGACATCAGAAGACGCTATTTCACGGTCAGGGTGGCTAGGGTCTGGAACCAACTTCCAAGGGAGGTGGTGCAGGCTCCTACCTGGGGGTTTTTAAGAAGAGGTTAGATGAACACCTTGCTGGGGTCGTTTGACCCCAGTACTCTTTCCTGCCATGGCAGGGGGTCGGACTAGATAATCTTCTCAGGTCCCTTCTGACCCTAGAGACTATGAAACTATGTCATAGAGCAGGGGTGAGCAACCTGCAGCATAAGTGCCAAAAGTGACAGTGCAGTAGCAGATAAAACAGGGAGCAGAAAGCAAATCAGTGGGCCATGCAAGAAGCACAAGGCAGGGAGCAGATGTAGATTAGACAGGGAGCAGAAAACAGAGCAGGAGATTGAGCAGGGGAAGGGGATCTGAATAGCACTTGAGGAAGGTGCAGAGCTAATCTGTGGTACACCTGCCACACAGATTGATCTCCACTGTTATAGAGGAATTTATCTCTGTGTTCTCCTACGCAAACTTCTCATTCATTTATGTATTCTTGAAACTACAGTAAAACATTCACCCTAAATTATTGAATTAACTCTATTCCAAGGCAAGTTCCCGCACTCCCCATTCAACATGGGGAAAACAAAGCCCCCTTCTAGAATCGAGTATGGGACCACTCCAGCCAGGAGCAGTGGGAAGCAGAGGTATCCCCAGCTTATCTGAGCCTAGAAGGAGCCTAGAGTCAATCCTGTCCCCTCCTTTAGGTAGCCCAGCTGTGCAGGGAGCCTAGCTTGGCCAGGGATAGCAGCAGCAGCACACAGGTTCTTCCTCCCAGCACCAGCTCCCTGCCTGGTTCCCCTCCTCCCAAGTTGTATCTCCCCTGATGGCCAAGAAGTGGTGGGGGGAACAGACAGTGGCAGGACAGGTGCCTGCCCCCCTGCTACTTTCCCTGTCACTTGCCCAGCAGCAGCAGCCGGGGGATGAATTTAAGCCAACGCCCCCAATAATTAAATTCTATACATGAGGTAATATCACAAATCTATAATTTTCTATGTCTAGAGTCTAATCATTGGGGGTGGAGGGTTGTCTTAAATTCAAAGTCCTCATAGAGGTGGGTAAATATAGTACGTGGTTTGCCTTTGCATGGGAAAACTCAACTAGGACTACTGTTAAATTTTAATTTCTGCAGAATTATAATGATTTTGCCCTACAGTTCAACCAGGTGAATAAATAGCTAGCAAGTTAAAGTTCAGACCAAATCTTCATGCAAATGAAGGCCATGGCAAAAGGCTCATTGTCTCTGAGGTGCCAGCTAAACACTCAATGGAGGCAGACCCTGCTAGGTCTATGGTAAGTCTTGTTGACTTCACTGGGGCCCCATGAAAATGCAGGAATCTGCCCATAAGGAAAGCCACGTACAGAATCCAACACTGACTTACGTTACTGTAAACTTAGTAAGTATAGAAAAAACATTTATTTGACCCACACATCTATTTCTGTGTGGAAGCCAGTAGGCCTGTGCGAAGCAGCTAGTATTCACTTTGGATTCTGATTCGGCCGATTCAAGGGACAGTGATTCGATTTGGTGATTGGAATCACTGTCCCGATTTGATTCGGCTGAATCGTCCAATCCCCCACCCTTCTCCCAGCCCAGCAATAGCTGCCCCAGCTCCTGGCACTTGTTAAAAAAAAAAGCCCCGAATCAGCGGGTGCTTCCTCCAGGCAAGGGGTGATCCCTGCTGCCCCCCACTGCCCCATGCTGCATGGGGGCTGTGCATGAGCCCCCCAACCCTGCTTCCTCACTCCCCTGCCCCCCCCACAGGTGCCCTTTCCCAGCCGGCTTCAGCCCTCTAAGAAAAAAAACCTGAGAAAAGCCCCGCACTCACTACTCCGGCCGCCAGTGGGGGGCAATCCCCACTGCCCGACGCCACATGGGGGGCTCTGCAGAGCCATGAGTCCCAGGGCTTTTCTCCAACTTTTTTTTCTTAAAGGGCCAGAGCTGGCCCAGGCAGGGCACCCTTGAGGGAGCTGGGGGAGCAAGGGATGAGGTTGGGGGGGCTTGTGCAGAGCCCCACCATGCAGCATGAGGCAGTGGGGGCCAGCCAGGATCACCCGCCTGCCCTGCAGCACCCGGTGAGCAGCCATGGGGGTGCTGGGGGCTGGCAGGGGTCACCCCATGGTCCTTTCCCCTAACCCTCTCTTCCCCACCTCTTGTACTTACTAGCTTAGAGTCAGCTGCAGGTCCCTGCTGCAGCCATTGGAGACTGCCCGAATCATCAAAACTCTCCAAATCTTTTCCGAAGATTCAGAGAGCCTTGAATCGATTCAGACCTTTAAATTTAAATTCAGACATTTAAATTAATTTAAATGATTTGATTCAGATTTGGAGATTTGGCCACCAAATCGGGCCAAATCTCCTCCAAATCGAGTTGCCACCCAAAGCTTCTCTTAGCCCTAGTAGCCAGCAAACTTTCTGTATGGGCAGTTTAGCAGAAAGATCATATCAAAGGATAAAACATGTGAGACCTCACAAGAAAAGCTTCAGATCTTGAGAGATTTCCAGACTAATATTTACAGACTCCAAAGCTTCAATAAGCACATTGAATTGAGGATGTATATTGAAAGTAAATCACTGACTCTACTTAAGTTTTCCTATTAATGGTCCTTTACTGCAGTACAGATATCAAAGTAATGGTCAGTCATTTATTTTCAAAGAAGGAGGTACAGGTCCTCTGATGATCTGTTGCAATGACTGATGCTATTATACAAAATGCCTGAAGCAGATTTAATTGTGCTGTGCGATGCATGTTGGCTTTAGCAGAGGAGTGACAGTTGCATGCTGAAGCTGTATGACTTTTTTGCAGCCAAAACAAAACTAGCAGATGTTTTGACTTTGTGCCAGTTCAGCTTGTGGGCCCAAAATATCTGACATTTCAGCTGAAATGTTTGCTGTGATGAAAAGCAGTTACGTCAGGGTTCTTGTCAGAAAGTGAAGACTGGCTATGGTCATCTTGCTTGATGCACTTCTTCAGTCTCCACATAAAGAAACTAAACTTTTTCTTGTGTGACTCTCTAACTTTGTGCTGATCTACTCCATATACATTGCTCTACTACCAGACTTCTGCAGTGAACTTATACTTTCTTCTAATAAAGCACCGTGGATATTTTAGCCTGAAAGTTACATTGACACAACCGGCAGCTTCCGAAGTTGTTAGATTTTTTTTTTTTTTTTGAGAAATCACATTGCAGGAAAAACTCCAGTAGCCACAAAGATGTTCTTTAGAGTCCCTTTTTGTCTCATGTTCAATTGCCCATGCTGGGGGTGCTGAACCTCTGACCTGCGTTCCAGATCCAACCTGTGGGTTTTTCCAGGAGTCCAAAAATCTGGCATTTGGGAAGCAGTGCCAGCATTAATTGCAGATCCCCTGCTGTCAAATTTCTGGACCTGTGGGGAGCCCCGAAAGCTGGATGATGTGGACTGCTATGCAGAGTTGGGCCAGAACAGCTGGACTAGCCAGGGACTGACCCTGCACCACTCATCGACACAGCCACACATTTAGCAGCACTGTCCCATGTCATTGAATGAATACATATTGAGCCTGGCTCACGAAAGCTGTGGTAAACAGAGGTCACATGATAAAGTTAGCAAATGTTGAAGTGATGTTGTAGACATGGAGAAGGGTATTATGTACCAGAAAGCTTGTCTAAATCTATCCCAAGTATGCAGTTTGTCCAATTAAAGAAATACATTGCTCACAGAAATCCTTGTCTCTTACAAATTAAGAAAGGCATTCAGCAGTGAGGAGCAAGAGTGTGGATGATGCTTGTTGTTGTATCTGTGACTATCTGTTCCCTGCGATATGAGCATTGAGCATAACCTTAGAGTTATATGTTCTGCCCTCTTACCCAGAGGAAGGTCAGGTTAGTACTTATGCAGAAAATTAACAATTTAACAGAGAGAGAATCTGTCAGGGTAGCAGTAAAGATTAGAAGAAGGAAGTTAGAAAGCCAGGAGTCTGTTTTCTTTAAGTTTAAAGTATTGAATCTTTATTAAATTCCAAATAATGAATGAGAGCTTTGACTCCACAGTATTGCATATATCCCCCTGGTGAAAAGGTGATTTAACTTTCAAGGAGTAGGAAAGCCACACGTGTGCTAAGTGCACTTTCTACTTCTGTTAATTGCAGTAATCAAGCCTATTAATGGTCTAAAATAAGGATTCTCATACTTTTTCATCACATGACCAAGAAATGAATAGTTGACACACACAAGACAGAAGTGACAGTTTTTGCTTGATCTGGCCTCTGAAAACTCTACAACTGTTACCAAACAGAAATGCATGTCTGAAAAGTGCTTTAAAAGGACTCTATCCCACAAAAATCTGGACCCTGAAGACATTTCAAAACAGAGCATTTTTTGTAACTTCTGTCTGAGCTGCTTCCTAGCCTGTCACTGGTTTCAGAATAGGAGGGGGGAAAGAGAGTGGAGGGAGTTTGGTCTACATTTTTTTCAGCCCCAGCTGGAGGTTGGGGATGGGTAGATTGGAGCCAGCTGTGAAAACCCAAAAACCAGTTTCCTTTGCTCCCTTTCCCCCCTCCCATTCTGTAAACAGCAAGGGCTGGGACAGAGGAGGGGCTATTACCAGGGCAAACCAGCTGCAGGCTGAAGCCAGCAGTTAGATTCCTCCTCCCCCTGGAATCAACAGTGAACTTCTGTTTGGTCTGGGAGATTGTTGTAATTCAGAACAGTTCCTGCAAAGTGCTCTGAGTTACAGCAGGGAGCTGCACTTCTGTTTGTGAGCAGAGACTTGCCTTCTCACTTATATTTGCATGTCATCTTCCTTCTTGTTTACAATTGCATTACATCCCTTTAGCATATTGTCATTGTGCAAACTAAAAATGTGTATAAAGTCATTCTAGATATGAGATAGCAGCTGCAGCAGAATGGGCCTTTCTGACACTATGCTGTGGGAGGATTTATATGAAACTGGCAACATCTTACATAGTAACTAGGTTCATGCAGTGAATAGTTAACAAGAAGTGAGCCCATAGTTCAGAATAAAGTAACCAAAGACAACTTTTAGGCAATGAGCAGCAGTGTGAAAGTGAGTACTTTATAAAGAGGAGAGTCAATGAAATACAAGACAAGAAGGGAAAATAGCAATGACTGCAGTGGAGAACAAAGCACAGATGCCCCAGAACCTTTTCCTCTGCATCACAGGAAATCTTAGTTTTTTTTGACTGTTTGAGCTTTCAGATTTAGAATGACTCTATAATTGAAAACAATGGCCCAGGAACAATAGAAACGGTTGTTTCTAACTGAGCCTGTAGTCAAAATGTAGAAATAGTATTTTAATATCTTTATGCCTCCTTTCTCTACATCTGACCAGGCAGGCTGTTGCCTAGAAAATCTTTTGCTTGTCTGAACCAGTGAGTCTGTAAGGAGCCACCTGCCCTACCTTTTGTCTTTTTTATGCCTTTCTGATACTTGTGCCAGATAAGGGCAGTTCATTCATTCCTCATTGTAAGTCAGAAGAGCTTCTGGGAAGGTTGTGGAGCACGTGCAGAGTGTTTCAGTAGGGTTTATTCGGCTGCAAGATGGTATAGACTTGGAATAACATTTCCTGGAAGCCCCTGCCCTAAAACTGAGTCCCTGTGTTCGTTACCGTTTTGCTGCCCACTTCCCTGTAAGGGACTCCTGTAAGGGAGCAGAAGAGAGCTATACAAAGCTCATCCTTAAAGGATCCACAGACAACTGAAATACCCTGGGATCACTATTTTGCTACATTAAGTTGCTGCCTTCAATCAATGAGTACTAAAGACATCAGTTGTTTAGTACAATGAACCAAAAAATAGTGCAATTTTGGAGTTTAAATGATCAGTTCTCACTGTCCAAATTAAATTTTCTTCCACGTCATATTTAACTTAAAAGACTTGACATCTTTAAAACAAAATACCATCTTTTGGTGCATTTTCTATGGGTCTTTCCTGCTCTTTTTTCTCAGAGTATCTTGCATGGTGATAGAAAAATATAATGATGACAGTGGCGACATTCAAAAGAAGGATAAGCAGCATGATCCAGTATGAGTATCCATAATTACTGGTGGACTTTTCATATCCATTTGTAGAAGATGTACATTTTGAAGCCAACTTTACTGACAGCTTGTTTGCCTCTATATTCACTGCAAATAATATCATGGCTAGAAGAATGAAGATGCCTAGAAAATATAAATACAAATGTTACAGAAAAGCATTCTTTGGGTAAGTTTAGGCAAATACAATAGTTCTATCATGTATTTCAGTCGAGAAAGTTACATCCATGTGAACATTTTCAGATTTTTAAAAGGAGGTTGCATAGCACAAATCTTGCTCTTGGACATTGTAGGTGTATATAATATTTTCTATTTGAGCCATATATTCAGTTTCTGTTGATGTCAGTGAAATTTTGCATTGGAAATATATAGTGAGGCTCCACAAGAGTTAATACATATGAACTGGAAATCAGAACCCATTTTTTTCACAGACTTAAAACATATGTTGATGTGGTGGTTACCTTAGGACTTGGCTAAATAGTGTTAGAGTCTGAATGTGTTATTAATGGTGTTAGGAATATTTTTCTTGGAGCTATATGGTGCGTCTACATGAGACACTTCAAGCTCAGTAGGCTAATTCTACTGCACATTAGCACAGTGGGCAAAACCTGTGCTAATGCGCAATAGAACTGGTCTCCTAGCATCACCTAAAATGCATGCACTGGTGCTACTGTGCAGTAGCACCAGTTACTGTGTGTTTAGTTAGTACCTGTTATTACAGGTATTAAACTAAATGTGCAGTAATCACTGTGCATTAATGCACATGTAGATGTGCCCCCTAATAAACTCCCCGATTCTAGTTCTTTACAGGACTTAGCATTAGGGCTGTGTGAGGCTTCAGACAGAGCTTTGGATCCAGAGAAGCTTTGGACGCTTTGCGGTCTGAAGCAGCACATCCGGGTCCAAGCACTAGCCTCATTCGGCTTCCCAAAGCAGTTCGGAGCTTCCGAAGAGCTTCGGAGCCACCTCGGAGCTGCTGGCCATAGGATATAATGGGGAAACAATAAAATATCTATAATTTTGATGTTTCTCGTCTGATTTAGATGACATTTTCAGGAATGGTATACTCTGCAGAGAAGCTGAAGTCTGCCAAGTTTCAAGAAGGTCAGTGTAGGGGTTTGGGAGAAACAGCACCCCAAATTCTTGAAAGCAAAACTCATGTCAAGTCTAGGCATTACAACATAGTGGGGTGAAAACAGCAGGGGTGGTGGCTCTTTCTGAGGCCACAAAGCCTGCCAAGTTTCAAGAAGATAGGTGAAAGGGTTTTGGGGCAACTGTACCCTAAATTATTGAAAGCAAAACTCCTGTCACGTCTATGTGTTACAGCACAAGGGGGGTCAAAACTGCAGGGCTGGTAGCTCTTACTGAGGCCACAAAGCCTGCCAAGTTTCAAGATCAGTGCAGGGCTTTGGAGGAAACTGCCCCTCAAGCTGTGGACAGCCCTGCAGTTTTGACCCCCCTGTGGTGTGACACACAGCCATGACATGAGTTTGGCTTTTAAGACTTTGGGGTACAGTTCTGCCCAAACCCCTGCACCGATCTTCTTGGAACTTGGCAGGTTTCATGCTTTCAGCAGAGGATACCATCCCGGCATGTTTCATCCAAATTGTACAAAAAACCCCACAAAGTTATAGCTATTTAATTGATTCCCCATTATACCCTACGGCCGGATCTCTGAGGCAGCTCTGAAGCTTCAGCTGGATCGAGGCAGTAACCCAGTCTGGAGCTCCAGATCAGATCGCAGCCATCTGAAGCGGCTGAATCCGAAGCCGGATCGGATTGCTGCCGACTCACACAGGCCTACTTAGCATGTTGTTCTTCCCATTTATATTGCCTACTGTATTTTTACATCCTTCCCATACTTGAATCACCATACCTCTACCTACAAGCCTCAATGATCAGAAAATCTTCTGAGGGTGTTATAGAATTTGAAGATCAGTAGTAAGAAATCAACAGGCTTTAAGGAATGATCATGCTATGTTCACCTGTGAATATGGCTTCATTTAAAACAGTAGCTGTTTTCCAGAAACAAGATGTCAGGTTCTCTGAAGTAAATCAGTATAGCTCCATTGACATCAGAGCAGTGAAGCTCGAGTACACTAGGAGAGATTCTGTCCCAAGATCCATACTGCTTGAGAGGGATTTCCCAGATGAGTTTCAAAATGCTATTTAGTGTAAAGCAAAAGCAGAGGTACCCAACATAACAGTTTTGCACTTGAAATACTTTAGGAGGCTGAATCTCTAATACTGAAGCACCTTGTAATCAGATATTTTTCAGTAACTTCTCCAAATCCAAAGCCTGCTCTTAGGGGAAGCAGAATCCTCTTGAGATAAATTCAGTTTGAGAGATTGGCTTATTACAGTAGCAAGATCAGAAGGATAGTGAGGTACGTTAAAGGAAGCCAGATGCAATGGGTGAATGACGGGTTATACCTCCAGGGAACTGCTTGCAGGAGTTCAACTCTCTACTAATTTTTTAACTTAGGGAATATTTTATCTTATTATCATCTGTGAAAGCATTTTTCTCATAAAAAAAAAAAAAGAAAAAAATGATCACATTTTCACAATGCTAAAACCTCATATGTATTCTTTGGATTAAAACTTAATTGTTTCATGTATACGTTGGGCTATTATGTCTTTGCAGACTTGAGTGAAATAACAAGGTGTAGCACTGCACAGGACTTTAAGGCTAAGTACAAAGTTTCAAAAAGCCTCAGGCAGAATTGGTTCAATCTTTGCAGGTTTTTCTAAGCTGCATAGATTGAATCGATAACAAACTGAACTGATGTTCAGTGTTTGGGTGGCCAAGACAAGCAGAAGCCTGCACTGGCCCAGGCCAGGAGCCTGGGGGTGCTCATATGCATCACCCCTCGTGGTCAGCTGCCTAAGGCTGCTAAACCCAGCCCAGTGGCAACCCAGGCCTGATTGGCTGCTGGACACCCGCCACCTCGCCTCGCTGTCAGCTGCAGGGAGGGGAGAGGCAGTAGAAAATCCCTCCCCTGCCTGTGCCTCTGAGAGGGAGGTGGGGAGGGGAAATGCACCACCCAGCCCTGCCCCACAACGGGGGTCTGCCTAAAATGGGAAAAGACCGTACTGGGGGGGCTTTTCACCACCCCACAGCCTGGCTAGCAGGGCTCTGATTGGCTCAGCCCCACCCCCTGCCCAGCCCCACACCTATGAGAGGTCATCCAGCCTGGCACCAGCCCCTCCTACATTTGGGGTCTGCCTAGCATAGGAGAGAGACCCCACTGAGGGGGTTTTGCTCCCCCACAGCCTAGCTAGCCAGGCTAGGACCAGCTCAGCTCTGCCCTCTCTTCAGCCCCTGCCTAAGAGAGGCACAGGGCAGGGTGAATGCAATGGCTCAGCTGAACACTGACCTTCCCCCAGCTGGGGGGAGCCCCCACTGGGGGCTTTTTGCTACCCCACAGCCCAGCTCACCAGGCTGGCATGGGTTCAGCCCCAGCCCCTCCCTAGCCCTCCTGCCTGTGGCCTTTCCTCCTGTGTTCGATTGCCGAGCTGGGGGGGCATGGGGGGAGGGGGCCCCAGTGCTGTCCCTGGCAGACTTGGAAGTAGACTGGAAGTACTTCCAGTCCACTGGGTTCACTGCCGAGCATGTGGACAGCCCCCCCCCCCCCCACTCCTGTGGGATGCTCCATGCGCCCCAACATTTCAGCATTCAGGAGTCACACCTGGTACCTCAAGATATATAGATAAAACTTTTAAAGTTGTGTTTGTGTCTGAATTGCTGATTCTCTGAATCAGCATCAAATCTTCAGATCCATATTCGGCTGAATCGATTCAGGGACAGTGATCCGAATCAATGAATTGAATCACCTTCCCTGATCTGGGCCAAAATTGAATCGAATATGGCTCACTTCGTACACCCCTACAAAATACCTTTAAAAATATGTGCCTTAGTTACTTCTAATACCTTCATTTTCCCGTCTGGGTTTCAGTAGTTTAAAAATGGTCAGATTATTCAGATCTCTGATGACATGTATGCACCCAGTTGCATTAAATTATATTGTAAAAGGCTATTTCTGTTCATTTTCATTATTGCAATCAGTGAACCCACTAACTTGCTGAAAGGTGGATTAATTTAAGGTAAACAATAAATTTTGCAATTTCTATAAGAGGTGGGATGTTTCAATATCAGTTTGAAAGCCTAAATAAATGGATACCATCTTTCAAATGTTGTCAGTTTATAGCATTTCCCATATCATATGGGAAATAATCCTTGCCCATTTTTAAAATTCATAGGCAAGCCATATTTATACATGGCTATGGAAAAGATTATGTTTGCTTGCTGTCAGCATAGATAAAATCAAAACTCCTTTATTGCCCCCTCCCCTCTTTTGGTAAAAATGGGTACGTGAGCATGCATCTACAGTAAACTCTCTGGTAACCAGCACCTTACAAGCTGGCATGCTCAGTAACAGGCATGCCGGCTTGTAGGGAAAAGTGAAACCAGAAGTGCCCACCACATCACTTCCAGTTTCCCTGAGCCCTCATGGCCCGGGGCAAAGCAGCCTGCGCTGCCAAGCCCCCATGGCCTGGGGGCATAACAGGTTGCGCATGGCTGTGAGGGGCCTGCCTCCCTGTCCCACAGGGCCAACAGGGCCCGTGGGAGGGGCAGCAGTGCCACAGGAGGGGCGGAGGGACGCCCTAGACGTGGCAGGAGAAGCAGCAGCTGGGGCTGCTCAATGAACCAGCATATTTTGTTATCTGGCATCCCCATTCCCAGGGGATGCTGGATAACAGAGCTTTTACTGTATTAATGAATCAGGAGCTATAATCTGTACATACAGACATATCTATTAGATACGCTGCACAAGTTATCTTTGCTCCCCACAGCACAGTGGAGTTTTGACATAAATAAGAATCAGGATATGTATACAAAGTGTATTATAAAATTTCTACCTGAAAACCAACTATCCAACAAAAATGATTAGGGGCCTTGAAATCAAGATTGGGGGAAAGGGTTAAAGAACTAGGGTTATTTGGTCTGGAGAAGAGAAGACTGGGGTGGGCAGGGGTTGATAGCAGTCTTCAAAAACCTGAAGGGTGATTACAGAGGATGATGATGGACTTCTCTCTGTGGCTATAGGGAACAGGACTAGGAGCATTGACTTCAAGCTCAGCAGGGGAAATTTAGATTGGAGATTAGAAGGAACTTCCTAATGATAAAGGTGCTCAGGCATTGAAACGGGCTACCCAGAGAAATTGTGGAATTCCCCAACCTCCTTAGTTTTCAAGAGCAGGTTAGGCTGACACGCAGCAGGGTTGGTTTAGGCAGGAATGATTCTGCCTTGGAAAGGGGCTTTCCAGTCATACTTTCCTGTGATCTAAAATAACATACCTTACATACTTACCATTTAGGGAATTCCAGGTGTAGATTCCAATAGGCCCCAAAAAAGTCTGATAGGGATTACATACAGTGTTACTACACGTAAATCCAGAACTCAGAAGGGAGCTGAACAAACTGAGAATCAGGAGGAAGATGATCACAATGTTCACACTTCTTGCTTCCACATTATCCAATTTATCTAAAACTGAAAGAAAGAGTTCAGTATTAATACCTTAACTTGAACCTAATGATACAGGGAAGCGGTCCCAACTAGGGTCTGCCTAGACAACTGCTTAGAGCCAGGGTAGCAGACAGGTTACTGATCCAGCCTGGACCCTAGTCTTCTGACAGTCAGCTCTTGGCTTAGTTGGGTGAAGGTCTGTGTCCCAGTCCTGAACAGCTACAGCAGCCTCACCCAGGCCTCCTGGCTAGAGACTGAGGTCTGAGTAATTGCTTCCTGTTCCTAATTCCTTTGGCTTGTGGTTCTACCCAGGGTGACTGCCTATGCCCTGGTCTGTTACAGAACTTGAGTTCCTGACCTGTCTGTCTGCTGCTTATTCCATAAATCTAACTGGAACCCTTTCTTCCCTATCATTGTCTCTTATCTCTGGAGTTGTGACCATTTAGGGTCAACCCTGAAGGCCTATATCTGGGTCACACTGCTGATAAGCTTTGTGGTTCAGGCATTTCCATGAGAAATTTGGGTTCAACTCAAATTGCTTGCTCTGAGATACAAGGCTTGTCTTCTAGCTTTATTCAGTCTTCTGCACCAGTAATCCAATGCCTAGGCTATAGGGTAAAAGGTACGTGGACCTACCTCCACCATGCTTTGTGCCTAATCTTTGCCTCAAAGGGTGTGTCTATACGTTGCCCTACAGTGACGCAGCAACATGCTACATTGCTATAAGGTGCCCTACAGCAACGTAGTGATCAGGTGGGTCTACATGTGATTGGCAGCTACATCGCTGTATGTGGTATACAGTACTGCTATGGCAATGTAGCGGGAAAATCTAACAGTGTAGTATATGCACAGCACAGTAACTGCCCGTACTGCATCATGCTTTTGTACTTCCAAAAGGAAGTACTAAAACATGGCACCATAGCAATGTCACCATACAGCGACATGTAGACGCACCCATTGTGTTTTAAAGTAGCCTAGTTTTTCTCTGCCTAAGGAATTGAAGACTGGTGGATTTCACTCACTTCCCAAAGAAAATGAGAAATGGGAATCGGCCATCTAAATAGTTATGCGGCTGCTTCTGAGAATGTTCATTGCCCCATGTTCCAGCCAAGCACATAAGGAAGGGTGAGAATATAGGGTTGCAAGAAAAGAAAAATATGCAGGAAGTGGTGTCCGTTTTTCATAAAATACCTGTTTTGAAGACTAATAAGCATTGTTTTCTAGACTTCCTGGCAGTTTTGTGGCTGCTGTCAGGTGGAATAGGATGGCACTTAGTGACTTAGACACCTGCAAGCCACATTAAGTACCACTTTTGTTGCAGTTGTTTATTTAAGGTTTTAGTTAATATGTTATAGGTTACTTTTCTCTGCTCTTTATTTTTGAAGACTAAAATCCCATATTTTATAACTGGAATAAACAAAGTAATCTACAAAAACAGATTTGGTCGAAAATAATCGGTATGAATCTGTATTTATATTAAACCCTCTACACATTTATGATATAAAACAATCTGAATGTGAGGGATATCAATCCACCTGTGGAGTCCTACCTATTTTCTTCCACATATTTACTTGCTTGTTTGTTTTTACCTCTGATTGCTCAGATCTCTTTAACTGTGCCTGGCCTGTCACAATATGTTGGTTCTAGAACTCAGTCCGGCTCCCTTTTTAATGACCCTAATTTTCTATTGACTTGAAAGGGCATTGGTTTGGGCTACTTTGCCTTCATGTGTCTTCTATTTTTAGTGCTATCATTGTACATAAACTGAAGATAAATAGTGTGTTTTTTCAAAGTATATTATAATCTGACCCTCTAATCCAGGCTTGTCCAACATGCGGCCCAC